AGACTCTGTTGTAATTCCCCAAGATACAAAGAAAAATTTCAAGGAAGCATTTATGGTTATAATTTACTGTCTGCATTTATGATCTTTTGAACTCCTTCCCATTGCAGCATTTCATAGGAAAGTTTTTAATATTCTGAAAAGTTTAGACACTGATCTGAGGCCACTGAGTCACTACTGCAGATTATCATGGAGGTAGATTATCATGGAGGTTGCCAATCTGTGAGAACAACACCTGTAATGTATTCCTATAGATCTGATCATTTTTCTCAAGGAAATTGACCAAAGACCTTGTGAATTTCATTCCTTTTCACCAAAGAAAATTCTCATTCATCTAACAAAGGCAACAGAGGCAGCTTAGTGGCAAAAATGAAATAGTAGGCATGAATTCTTGTTCTAATCATCTTGTTTTTACCATGAATATAACTATGCCTTAAATTTGCATTCATAACGAAAAACCTGTGACAGGATCTATTTCCATATTAGACTAAAAAGTCTGCACAGTACTTGGCAAAATGGTGCTTAATGTACTATTTATTTATAGACCATTCAATGTGCTGCTTCCACTTATTTCTTATATGTGAAAACAATAAGCTAGTCATCTCGTGTGCAAAACACAGACATTGCAGGTAAACTATTCACCATATCTAGTTTCCAGGGTTCCAGAAATGGTGCTACAGGCTTGGACGAACTGCAAGTGGTGTATGTAGGCAGAAAGCTTGAATTCAACCTACCTAGCAACAGACTGTGGCATTCACCATATTGTATGCACATGTGGCTCAAATTCATGCTGCTGGCTGACGGGCTTCCTACAGAGAAGCATTTAATTGTCAATATTATACACTTATAATATTCAGAAGTGTAAAAGTTAACTGAGAAAAAAATGGCCTAAAGTCTAAACTGAGATGTGATTTAGACGGAAAACATGACTGTGTGACAGAGGCAGAAGCCTCTGCAAATGGAACTGGGAAGGAATTGACTGTGAACAGCTGCTCATTGAGAGATGGCTCGGGAGGGAACCCTGAGTGAACTTATACCGCCTTGGAAATCAAAACGTGCTGTGGTATCACAAGCTCTGGCTAAATAAATGCTCTGTTGTAAAGCAGAACTTTTGACCTAATTATTTTGTCCTCACAGCTTTGCTTCTCGGAATGTTTATACAATGTCTATAATTGTTCCCAACAAAATTTTTATAGAAAGAAATATTGGCTGGAGAAAAATGTCTTCTCACTAGTATTGAAAAAGAGAAAGAAATAATTGCTTGGCTTAGTTTATATGCAAGCTCCTGGTGAACTTGTTTTTCAACAGATTCTTATCCATAGTAGACACTCGATATTGAACAGACGAACAAATGATTGTGGGGAGTTCTTTTATGTGCTTATGAAGAATTAAGATAATTCTTGCAATTGTTAATGAATCAATACCAAACCATAAAAGAGTCAGTAAGAGGAAAGAGATGAATGTCAGTTGGAGGAAGTGTTAATCTAATGATTTAGTCTTGTCATCAGTATGTCCCACAGATGTATATTTAGTGCATCCTGAACAGCATGTGTGGAGACAACGTCTCTGAAATTCACTATTGTAAAGTCCACTACAATTGCCTAACATTTTGTGTTTCTCTATATTGATTCCAAAAAGTTGGAATAAGAAGTATTTCTTAATCCTTAAATATTTTGTGGTTTGATGGAGTCTAGCTAGTCAAATCTCTACTTCTTAGACAAGGGAGATGAGCTACCCAACATGTATTTGATTGTGTATGTAAAATCTATGGAAACTATATGTAAAATTATCAGTATCTGACAATATAAAAAGCACTCAATCAGCTGTCGCTATCTCTTTTTATTGTGGTTATTGCCAATTCACAATTACAGTGGTAGTTTTTTAAGAGTCCCCAAACAAACATGGCTCTTTTTTATTTCATTATCATTTTTCATTATGAAATTTCAGACACACAAAAGATTATATATGTATATATATAAACACATTTATAAGTAGATAAATGAAATTTAATTGTTAACCAGTCAAACATCAGTATTTCCACCTCTGATTTAAATATGTGTGTGTGTGTGTGTGTGTGTGTATATATATATATATAGAGAGAGAGAGAGAAAGATGATAGATAGAGAGATATAGATTTATAGATAAAGATAGATAGATATGGATATGGTTTATATATCTCTCTCTCTCCAATAGAGCTGTCTTCCCTCCTGTTCATGTTCACTGATGTCTATCACTGCTCACTGGTATGCCATTTCCTGTCTTCTGCCATTTTTTTTCAATAGTTGCTTTTCATTTTCTTATTGATTAGCAGATGTTCTTCATATAGTCTAAATACTAAAATTGTAATGTAAATTAGAAGCAAATACCTTTTGCCAGTTTTTATCTTATATTTTTAAACTTTATTTTTTAAGACACAGGGTCTAGCTCTGTTGCTCAGACTAGAGTGACGTGGTGTGATCATAGCTCACTGCAGCCTTAAACTCTGGAGCTTAAGCTATCCTCCTGCCTCAGCCTCCAGGGTAGCTAGAACTATAGGCATACGCTACCATGCCAGTGTACTTTTAAAATTTTTGGTAGACTTGTGGTCTCACTATGTCGCCAAGGCTGGTCACAAACTCCTGGCCTGAAGTAGTTCTCTCAACTCAGTCTCCCAAAGTGTTGGGATTACAAGTGTGGGCCACTGCACCTGGCCTGCTTTTATAAATTTTAATGATATATTTTGATGAACAGAAATTCTTACTTTTAATTATCAGCATTTATCAGTTTTTTAATGGTTTATTCTAGACACCATTTTTCAAATAAATCATTTCCTACCCTGATTTCATATAGGCCCATATTTGTTCAAATAATTTATTGAGTGACAATCATCTGTGAGGCATTCTTCTATTACTTTAGGTACATCACTAAATTAAATTCTTGAGCCTTTTCTTTAAACATTTAAATGTCTGATTTACCTGCAATTGAATATTTTTATGGTGTGAAGTTTGATTCTATTTTATTTATCTTTGATAGATATAATCAGTTATCAGAGCTCTTTTTAAAAAGTATATCCCTTTTTTCAGTTAATTGCAGTGCCATCTCTGTAACAAAGTATTCATGGATATGCAGAAATATTTCCATGCTCATTACTTTGCCCAGTATTTCTCTGTTTTGATCCTTATTTCTATATCACACATTCTTAATTACTATAGCATTAAAATACACCATCATATTTAGTATGAAAGTATTTCTAATATGTCATTCTTCATAAATATTTTGTATATTTGGAGCCCTTTGCTTTGTCATATAAATTTTAGGCAAGGTTATCAAGTCCCACACAAACAATGTTAGAATTTTAATGAGAATTGCATTTTAGCTATAAAAATCAGTTTGAGATGAACTGTCATATTTATGATAGCCATGGACATGATTTGTTTCTATCTATTTATTTTTGGTCTTTTATAATGATTGTCACTATCATTGTACAGCTAGCTTTAAAAATATCTTATGCCATTTCTTATGCGTTATTTCTAGATATTTTCACTGTTATGCTATTTACATTGCATATTTTATTTAAATATTTTATCATTTTGCTCCTATCTAGAAATGCAATCCACTTTTATATGCCTTGTCACATTTTAAACTCATATTAATTTTAATACTTTGTAAAGTGAAATTGGTAATGTAAGCATCCATATCACTACAAATAATGAGAGTTATATTACTTTTTTATTTAAAATACATACTTATCTTGCTTTTGTTTCTTTGACCTTTGGAGACGGCTAGGAACTCCAATACAATAAGTTGTATATTTAGATACAATTACATATCCTTGCCTTGTTCCTGATGTTAAACAAAAATATTTATAAATGAGTCAGAATAGATTAAATTTCACTATAATAACAACCCCCTTTTGGTCTGCTTTAAAAAAATAAAAAACATAAACAGAGTACCTTATAAATGACAGAAATATATTTCTCATAGTTCTGGAGGCTGGGAAGTACAAAATCAAGGCAGCTTCAGTATCTGATGAGGGCCCATTTTCCAATTCATAGAAAACCTTGTCCTCACATGGTAGAAGAGACCAGGCAGCTCTCTAAGGCCTCTTTTGTAGGAACACTAATCTCATTCATGAGGACTCTGCCTCATGTTACAAACATTCAGACCAAAGCACCCTCAAAACTCAGTAGCTTAAAACAATAAAGGCTTATTTCTTGTTTATGCTACGTGTCCATCACAGGTTGGCTGCAGCCCTACTCCATGTTGTCTGCAATCCAGAATCTATGCTAATAGAAAAGCTTCTCTCAATGCAAATCAAAACCACGATGAGATACCAGCTCACACCAGTCAAAATGGCTATTACTAAAAAGTCAAAAAACAACAGATGCTGGCAAGGTTGTGGAGAAAAGGGGAATGATTTTACACTGTTGGTGAGAATATAAATGAGTTCAAACATTGTGAAAGACAGTGTGGCGATTCCTCAAAGACCTAAAGGCAGAAATACCATTTGACCTACCAATTCCATTACTGGGTATATACCCAGAGGAATATAAATCATTCTATTATAAAGATAAATACATATGTATATTCACTGCAGCACTATTCACAATAGCAAATACTTGGAATCAACCTAAATGCCCATCAATGATAGACTGGATAAAAAAAAATGTGGTACCTATACACCATGAAATACAATGCAGCCATAAAAAGGAATGAGAACATGTCCTTTGCAGGGACATGGATGGAGTTGGAAGCCATTATTCTCAGGAGACTAACGCAGAAACAGAAAACCAGACACCACATGTTCTCACTTACAAGTGGGAGCTGAATGATGAGAACACATGGACACGTGGCGGGGAACAACACACTGGGGCCTGTCCGGGGATGTAGGGGGAGGGAAATCATCAGGAAAAGATAGTTAATGGACGCTGGGCTTAATAACCAAGTGATGGGATAATCTGTGCAGCAAACCACTATGGCACACATTTACCTATGTAACAAACCTGCACATCCTCCATTTGTAGCCCTGAACTTAAATAAAAGTTGAAGAGAAACAAAAAGAATGAAAAAAATATTTTTCTTTGTTGACAAATGGCAAAGTAAAGAAAAGCTTCTCTTGAAGATTATTGGTTTTATGAAAGAAAAAATAATAATCATGACTTTTGAAGTTTCTACCTGTTACTTTACTTATTTCATCAACTAAAGCAAATTGCATGCCTAAGGCTAATATAAATGTGATGGGGAAGTATAATTATTATTGTTAGAAGTTTAAAATTTTTACTATACTTTTACAAATCACCTTATTTTTGCCCTGATTAATAATTTCTTCTTGTTCTTTGCTTTCTACTTCATTAAATTCTGCTCTTATTATCACCATATCAATTATTTTACATTTTTGGATGTATCTTCAGCTGATTAGCTCAATGTAATTTTACCCTTTATCCTTTTCTGCCATTTTCATCTCTATATAGTTTTCAATTTCTAATTTATCTGCATTACAAAGTTGTAATATGCTGGTAGTCGTTATTTTTGGTATTTCTAAAATATTTTAATTAAAATATTTTGATTTAAAATGATAAAGAAGTCCTACGATTTCCTATTTGACCCATATATTACTGTATTTTTATAGTTCTGAATATATTGAAACTTTATCTTTGTTGTTGTTATTGATATAAAATGTAATTGTATTGTGAACATAATCAATCATTTCTATAATACAAATTCTTCTATACTTTAGTTCATGTAACTCTGGGAAAAGTTTTGTATACACTGAGGAAAAGTATGTTGTTTAATTGTTACATGTGTTTATACCTATGTGTAGTAAATCAAGCTTATCAATTATACTTATTAATTTGTATATGATTTTTTAGTCTTTTATTGGTCTTTTGACTTTTTAACTATGACAGTTGTGTTAGTATTTTTGAATATAATGAAAAATGTGCCAATTTATCCTTGTAGTTATACATCTTATGGATTTATATAATTAAATGTATTTTTAGGATGCATAGAAGTTGAGAAAATTATTTTTCACCCATATATTTTTACCTTTATCTTGCCAGTTGAGCATGATCACTTTTGTATGTGCCAGGCACCATGCTAAGCACTGGACTACTATTTTTGTATTTTGATAACTTATTTCCTTTTGTAGGTATAATCTGATGTGTTCCAAAGGGGCTTCAAAATTGCTTAAAATATCTGAATACAAAATAGCAAAATAATGTAAGTTAATACTGGGAGAGAAATAGAAAAGAAATGTAAGGATATAACATATAGCCTGTCTGAAATACTGGTCTTAAATCCTAAAAACTTATTGATGGTAATAATAACATCAATAGCGAACAACTTTGCAGTTTACTATGTCTGCCACAATTTTAAGGGCTTAGTACATATGTAAAGTGTTTTAATACTTACACCAACCTGATAAAGGAGGAGCTTTTTTCCATTTTTCAAATGAGAAAACTGTGAAATAAAGAGAACCAATTCAAGATCTCAAAGCCATTAAGAGCTATTAAGCAAGAGTTTCCAGAATCCATATTCTTACCCACGTTTAAACAATGAATTTTAGGTATTGTGCTATTTCATATATTCAGGTCATGATTTCTACACATAAATAAAAATTACCCAGAGCCAATTAGCATAAATAAACAAGACATATGAAAGGCATAAGGAAATTAAAAATGGTTTTATAAACTACATGTGACCTTTACAAACCTCACTGTTCTAAATTTCAAATGTTGTACATATATGCACTAAATCTTAAGCAAACTAAAACCCGAGCACTTCACTAACAAGGTAAAATTGACATTTATACTTTTCAAGAAATAAAGAGAAAATTTGATTAATGATAGAACTAATTTTTCATTATTTTCAACTTTGTAGAAAGCCCCAAACAAGTGTTTGTCATGAATAAAATATATGAGGATTGCTATAACTGAGAGACAGAATAAATAAGCTAATAATAACAAGAAGCTGAGAGTTATTGATTCGCATTTAAAAAAATGTTCACGAAAATTCAGTATGCTAGTGTAGGTCTGGCCATTAACTAGGTGAATAACTTTCTCCTGGTTACATATACTACGAGGAACTCAAATTTCCTCATTTGTAACACAAGAGGACCAGATTAAATCATCATCCTTTCTAGATTTCTTTTGTTTCCTCAATGACTTCCTGGCTCAAAATTCTGGAGAAAAGGTTAACTTGCATTTCTAAAAGCCTGCCAGTTATCCTGGGAACTTGGTGTGAGTTTGGGGGTAGACCAAAAAAAGCCACATTTCCAGGTGTACCTTCATACTTGAGTGGGCCATCTTCAAATCAAAGTAATTAGGAAGGTGAACAGTGAGATACCAGCCATTTGTTCTATTGCTTTTCTCTTTATTTATTATTTTCTTTCTCAGAATTTTAGAATACCTTCTAGGTACAGAGCTATATGAACCCCAGAGTTGGTCAATTATCAGTATTATTATTCAGACTTCATGGAGCTGGAAATGAGGTCGCACAACAAAAGAGAATTGTAGAATTTCTCCTTGCCCTTCCCCACGTTCTAATTATCCATAATCCCTCATAGCAAGTCACCTAATATTTCTAAATACTTAGTTACACAAGAAGAAAATGTCTTCTGGATGCAAATATTATATGAAAACCTGAATCCTGAAAATTGGACTGCTTCCAGAAAACATTGTAAGAGTTCCAGCTCACGGAACAGCAGAGGCTCCTCCGTAGAGGTGTCTTTTTTTCTTTTTGTAAAAAATACTCTTCTTGGTAACTTGTTATTTTTGAACCAGTTTATTTTCTAGAAAATGCCTCTCTCGTTTGGCTCTTTCTTTTGTGCTTCTTAGAAGGAGAAATTCCTACACATAGGTAGGTATGCTTAGATCTGCATCAAACTTTATTCAGATTATCTCAGGCTAAACAACTTTCCTTTATCCTACTTCTCCTTAATTTTCCTTCAATTGTCTTTAATTTTGGGCTAAAAATGTTTAAGTATAGCAGGATCTAGATACATTTTTGACAAAGTGAACTAAAATCAAACCTAAAATTTCAGCTTGTAGTGACACATCAGGATCAAACATAATTTATCCCACTGAAGAAACTGACCTGACCTCAAAGATTTTGGTCCTAATTTCGAGTGACCTGGTCTGCAAAAGCTCTTGACTTTAAATACTTACTTTGTCTCTGTTAATCTTAACTATTGCCTGGAGTTTATAGGAGACCAAACCCTGATTCTAAGCACTTTGAAATCAAAACATATGCTTTGGATGATTTTCTGAATGTAATGCAGTAATTTAGTTTCCCTTATGTGCACATTTACTCAGGAACTTCCATCTAGTCACTGGCCCAAGCTGTCGCATTGGCAATTAGCACTTTTCCTTCAGAACCAAGAGGAAGTGTAGTTATCTTTTATGGAACATGTTTTATCTCTAGTGAGCACTTCATTAATTGGACTTTTGTTTGGAATGCGTAGGTTTAGTCTCCTTTGGATTCATCTTTTCTCTTTAATTTTTCCCATTGGTATTACTCACTGACTAATGTCTGTTTGGCTTCCTATTCTTAACGTTACCATTATTACCTCAGTGTGGGATGTACAGACCCACAGGGCAGGCACAATACTGTTAATCTGCACTCCCTTTCTTCAAAACACCATTAGCGATCTGATCATCTCTACTTTAGTGCCTAGAGTTCATAAGAGAAGGTTACAATAAAAACTGGATCATTGAAATGAGCTTACTATGTAATCATAACTGTCCCTGAGCATTGGCTTAATATTATAAAACTTTGGAAATACATTATCCCATTGCACTTACAGACATTACAAAGAACACTTTTTTATTGCTGTTGCTGTTATTACTATTATTGAGATGGGAAATTTGAAAACATAAGAAGTTAAAATAATGCATGCATCTTATAAATTTTAAAACCTATCTACTGGCCAATAAACATTAATTAAAGTCAAATATGTACCTGAGTCTCATAACAAATAAAGTATTACACAGAAAGTGCCGGTGAGTTGTGTAACAGGGAACACATTTACAGCTTAGAGTCTAGTCAGAAGGGGTTCTTTCTGGGAGGGAGGGGAATATTACCTCTGATCATTACAGCAGAGAAAAACACTGATATTACCAAAGGCACTAGATACAGAATCAGATTCTCAATTAGAAAGACGGCTACTGTGCCACACAAACTGATAACGTGGTTCTTGGGATTAATACATCAAACAAACCCTACATGTTATGAAGAAGGTAGGAAATAAAAAATATAAAAATTGATAAATTAAAAACTGGTTCTTTAATTGAATTTTGAAAAGATTAAGCTCAATTAAGAATATGAAGTCTTCACACACTAATGAGGTCATAGAAAACATTGGTTTCTAAAAATAAGAAAAAGGTGAGCCAAGGATGAGGATAAGCAATGCTTGAGGAATCTGAGTAGATGATTCCTGACCCACTCTGGGTAGAGGAGGATCTGAAAGTGGCATGAGAACACAATGAATTGAAGTGATAGGTCTATTTTAAAAAATAATTGTTATTATTAACATTGTATTGGTTAGTAAACTATGTACAGTGAATGCTGATTCTCAATCTGTTCAAGTATTTCTAACAAATATTTCTGTAATTTCCATTACATGCCACATTAAAAAAACTGTTCTAGTTTTTACTACACCTTGGCTAGATTATGGAATGATGAATTAACTAGACTTTACTTTTCTGAGTATGCTGCAGTGAAAATTGTGTTGCAAATTGCTGTCTTTATTGACAATTCATCACAAGATATATCTTAATCTCAAGAGAACTTTCCCACTGTGTCTTGAATGCTTATTCTCATGATCTTCTAAGACACATTCACACACACACGCACACGTGCACACACACACACACCCCCCTGACATGTACCATTCTATCACATCCTCCCATTCTGCAGCAGAAACAAGCTTGCCAAACACATTATCTTCTTATTTTTGTATAATCTAAAAAATATCCCTTTTATCTACACCATGTTCAGTAATTTAGTTACTTAACAATATATTTATATTTTTGAGGTGACTCAAGTATCATAGAAATCAATCAAGGTAGGAAGAATGTGGATTTGGCACCCAAAATAAGTTTGAGTTGATTCTTGTTTACTTGCTGTTAACATGCTTTTTTCACTGCCATGATCCTCAGCTTGCTTATTTGAATTTAAAAAAAAAAAAAACTATAATATTTGGCTTATAGATGTGCTTAACATTTTGTAACATAACACAAACAAAACATTGTGTAGTGAGGTAGAAATCCAATGATGTCTTCTATAAATGCTACTCGTCAAATCCTATATCCATACGGGTAAAATTGAACCAGGACTCTTATCTCTTACCACCTTAATTTTAAATGGACCATAGACCTAAATGTAATAGGTAAACCAATAAGCCTTCTAGAAAAAAATTAAAATGTAGAAAAATACTTTTATGCTATTGGATTCGGAACACCTTTTCAAAGAGGTCATAACACAAAAAAATTCTGGGCCTAATTTTCAGCTCAAACTGTGCTGTGACTGCAGTGGAAGAGAATACCTTTGAAACCGTCCAGACAGGCCCTCTGACTTTCAGATGATAGTCCTTGGGTTGGCTGTTACTAGTCTAAACCTGGAGCTTGAGATTGCGTTCAGATTTGTGTTGATTTGGGGGTAAGTCAACCAGACTCTTTGATCTCTAAATCAGTTATTGGATACAGGCCACTCCCTGGGAAAAGGCTATGATTTTACCTAGTTTCAGAGATCAAGGTGGGGAAGAGCTCTTGTGGCCCTATATTATAGTATAAAGATTTTCTCTTAATACCTTCTTTCAGCTTCATGTCAGTGCCATTCATTGGTCCCATTCTTATGAGGATTCTCGTCCCAAAGATTCAATGGTGTACTGTCGCTTTCTAGCGACAAGTCTCTCCTTTCCTGCATGGCTATGCATTTGGTATAATAGGAAACTTCTTTCTGAACTTGAGAATAAAAAAGAAATAGAATATTAAATATCAGGGAATTTCTCTAAATCACTTCACAGTCAAATGCAAATATTTTAAGAGACATTTCAAATTATGAGAATGAATTTCCTTTACAATATAATAACCATCATTGTATAATCAAATACTTTTAGCTTATTGAAATTGGATATCATGAAATAAATGTTTATTTCCTCTGTTTTGTTTTTCTTTTATAGAGATAGGATCTCACTCTGTTGCCCAGCCAGTGCAGTGGTGTGATCACAGCTTGTTGCAGCCTTGAAACCCTGGTCTCAAGCAATCCTCCAGTCTTGGCCTCCCAAAGTGCAAGGATTACAGGCAATGGTCACTGCACCTGGCCTGGCTCCATTTTTAAACTTGTCAAAAGATTATGACCAAGAAAATTTAGAATGATCTATCATTCTAAATATAAAAAAGTATTATGGGCCGGGCGCGGTGGCTCATGCCTGTAATCCCAGCACTTTGGGAGGCTGAGGCGGGCGGATCACGAATTTAGGAGATCGAGACCATCCTGGCGAACACGGTGAAACCCCGTCTCTACCAAAAGTACAAAAAATTAGCCGGGCGTGGTGGCGGGTGCCTGTAGTCCCAGCTACTCTGGGAGCTGAGGCAGGAGAATGGCTGGAACCCCGGAGGCGGAGCTTGCAGTGAGCGGAGATCGCGCCACTGCACTCCAGCCTGGGCGACAGAGCGAGACTGTCTCAAAAACAAAACAAAACAAACAAACAAAATATATATATACACACACACACATATATATAGTATTCTCATGCAGTGTATCTACTCTAAGAAATAGACACCCTCACCTACAGACACACACACACTCACACTCTTATCTTTACTTCCACAAAAACTCATCTCAATTTTAACTGCAGTTGGTATCTCCAGCAGAAAGAAGTTATTTAAAAAAATAAAGAAAACTTTACACCTCAGGGTTAGACAAATTGTGATAATAAAGTGGAATCACACTTTCTACACATGAAGGGGATATGACTACCATAGTTATTATAATATTTCTTATGTGGTTAATTTAATGCAGTACTGAAAAGACAGTTTGCTAAAATACTGGGTGAGAATTCATCTCAAAGCCACAGGAGAGCCAGAGCAATAGCATATGGATGATTTCTGGAACATAAGCACGATGTATTTTGTCAAGGAAGAAATATATCAGTATGTTGTAAGTTTCGGCTCAACTAAATATTAACACTTCAAAAAGAATCAATTTCACTTATAGACAAAAAGCTTTTGACTTAATAAATGCTGGAATTTTCTAAGCGCCATTAATTGGTCAAGATATATCATTATTTTTGACTTACATAATGAAAGAAATCTTTACAGTTGTATCTTTTGGAATATAAAAAAAGGATTGTTTTTAAAAAGCTACTGGTTAAAAATTAGTAATAGAGATAGAATTATATTTTTATTTATGTAATTTCCCTTTTTAAACAAGTCATCCAAATGCATTTTCTTATAAGGGCATCTTACAAGGTGCCCTTATGAGAAAGACAAGGTTTCTGGTCTTTTCTTATAAGGGCACTAATTCCATCATGAAGACCCCACTCTCGTGTTCCCTTCTAAATCTAATCATCTCCCAAAGGTCCCACCTCCAAATATCATCACATTGGGGGTCAGGGCTTCAACATTTTAATGTAGCAGGAAAGGGAAAACAGATATTCAGTCCATAACAGTAGGAGAACAGGCAAGAAATTTAACAATGTAATTTTGAAACTGGAAACAACTTTTCCCAGGGTTGGTTTATTCACCATTCTGTACCCTTCTGAGAATGGTAGGGTTTTGGACACTAAACTGTTCTGGTATCATAGTTATGGTGGGCTTCACTGGTACAACATTATCTTATATTGTCTCTGATTCATGATTGCCCATATCTCAGTTATTAGAAAGAGGGGGGTGTGGCCAGAGCTGGCAAGCTCTACAGAAAGTTCTAAAAGACTACATCCAGCCTTTGATTTAATTTCTCTTTACTTTACACCAGTATGGTCTTATGTCACCACAAAAAGGTCACCTTTACATTTTATTGCAGTGGAATTCCCATGTATTCTTGAAAGATTTGTGACAATAATTTTACAGATAACTAAATAAGGCTCTGAGAGATCAGTGACTTACTCATACTTAAAGAACTAGCTAATGTCAGAAAAGAGACAATACGTATTTAGACTCTTGTTTTCTTTTGTTTTAACACTTTGCTTTTCTCTGTACATAGGAGAAATTAGAATTATGTGTGTATATATATATGATATTAGAAATCATGAGTTACAAATAATTTGTAGTATGGTTAAATATCTATATTAATATTATTCTACCATTTAATTTTTCTACTTCTATTTCTTTAGGACTTTTATGTTTATTTTTTCCATATAACTTGTATTCGCCATCTTTCTAATTTCATAAGGAAGCTTTTTGGTTTTATTAGTTAGATTGTATTAATTCATAAATTAATTTGGAGAGATTTGAAATGTTAATAATGTTAATACACCCTATGCAAAAATAAAAGATGTCTGTCGATACATTCAGTCTACTTTTGGGCCTTTAAGAAATGTTTCATAGTCTTTATATTGGTTTTGACCAGTTCTTGTTAAGATTATTACTAATCATTTTGTATTTCTGTTGATTTTTTTAATACTTTTTTCTATTATATTTTGACTGATTATGAAGGCTAGTGATTTTTTTGCATGTCAATTTTATATTTTGTTGCTTTATTAAATTATTTCATTTGATTTTCTAAAACATAATTATCGTTTAGGGATTTTCCTAGTGTTATCATGAATATCATGTTATCTGAAAATACTCATATATTTTTTCTTTTTATCTTCAAATTCTCATGTTTCCAATAGTATTACGTTTATTGTTTTTCCTTTACTATTGGGTATGTCTTTTTTGCATTTTTCCGTGGAAATTATCTTTGTACTTATGCTTTAAAAAATTTTGCTGTTTGTTACATTGTTTCTTCGCAGAATATATAACACTCAGAAAGCATTCTTTCTTTTTTTTTTTTTTTTTTTTCCAGAGGGGGCCCCACTGTGTTGTCCGGGCTGGAGTGTGGTGGCACGATATTGGCTCACTGCAACCTCCACCTCTGGGGTTTACGCCATTCTCCTGCCTCAGCCTCCCGAGTAGCTGGGACTACAGGCGCCCGCCTCCTCGCCCGGTTAGTTTTTTGTATTTTTTAGTAGAGACGGGGTTTCACCGTGTTCGCCAGGATGGTCTCGATCTCCTGACCTCGTGATCCGCCCGTCTCGGCCTCCCAAAGTGCTGGGATTACAGGCTTGAGCCACCGCGCCCGGCCAATCATCTGTATCTTCAACTTTGTTTTAGTCTTAGTTCCACATTTCGATAAATATCAAATGTTCATCATTCACCCCAGTCATTTCTTGGAAGGGTGTAGCTCATTGTTTTTTTACATTCTTCAGAAATAATACATGTATATCATAGCTCTTGAGTTGTTTCTAAAAAGGTTTTTCAATAGCATTTGTATTTTAACAATACCTGAACTGCAAATCAAATATTTAACTTACAGTTCCTTTCATTAAGTTTTTTGAAAATACTATTCAGCTTTCAACTTCTTAGCATGTTGATCGTGACAAACAGGATGCAAAACCAGCTTTATTTTTTCTTGAACCATTTTAATTAGACACTTTGTATTTTTCTTATTGAGTTGAAGGGTTATTAAATAAAATCTTTGTGACATTTTGGAATGCATACACAACTATTATCTGGAAAAACATCAAATCTTATTTAATGAAACTTTAAATTTATTGTTTTATTTCAATGAAAATGAATGAGTTAGACTACATGCCATTAAAATTTATAAGTATACAATAAGTCAATTTGATTCATTCTAAGTGATTTATTAGGTAGTTCTACATAAAGCGAGAATATATATGCTATTTAATTCAGGGCTTCACATATTGCTCAATTTAATAACACCCATCCTTGTAAATTATTAGTTTAGTACTAAGACCATGCAGATTACTCACCTGATCAATATCTTTTTAAGTTTAATTTTATGCCTTCTGTAGAGATAATTATTTTTGTTTCTATGCCTGCCCATAATACAAATACCAGGAAAAAATAGGAATTATCTGATTACATGAGATATAAAGCAAATCTAGTCATATCAATATATACAGATGTAGTTTGTTTTCATAGTTTAATAAAATGCTTTCTAGTTTTCTAAACTATTTCAGCATTCCAAAATACTAATTTTTATCTCTTTTCTGATTGGAAATGGTGCAGCAATATACATCACTATGTGTAAATCCTTGAGTGTATCTCAGGGCGTTTCTGCAGTAATGATATTACAGTTACAGGGTAACCAAACAATACCCCTGAATTCTTTCATCAGCAAAGCCCAGTGTAATCCTAATCCAGGTAGCCACTCTAGTAAATGCGATCACCTCAGATACATTTATATGTATAATATACGTTTATGTCTGTGTATGTGCATGCAGTTAAATAGTTATGTCACTAAATTGTCATCTCATATGTTTTTTTCATTGAGAATAAGGTATATTCATTAATTAATCAACAAAAGCCTTTGAAATTCTTAGACAATGGCAGTTACTATAGTGGCTACTTGGATTAGAATTACTGTGGGTGTTTTGGGGGTGTTTTAACTTTTTTTTAAGTTCAGGAGTACATGTGCAGGATGTGCAGGTTTATTACATACTTAAACATGTGTCATGGGGGTTTGTTGTACCAATTACTTCATCACCCAGGTATTAAGCCAAGTATCAATCAGTTATTATTTCTCATCCTCCCTCTCCTCTCACCCTCCTCCCTCCAATAGCCCCCATGCATGTTCTTCTCCTCTGTGTTCATGTGTTCTCTTACCTTGTAAATGAATAAATAAATTGTTTTGCTTGGAGTCACCAATGAATTTATTGTATATCTGTACACCAATTCATGTTCTTCGAATATGTTTCAAGTTGATCATTCCAGCTCAGTGCACCCAGATTAACAGTAAACTTTGCTAATATGTAGATTTATATTATTTTTTTTTCTTTTATTTGTTTATTTATTTATTTATTTATTTTTATTGTACTTTAA